AGGAAATTATCATACTTTAAACATTTTATCACGTTTGAACTTGCATGCTTATGCTTCTCTAATTTACTCATTTGACACAAAAAAAATATCATAGAATGATTAATTATAATTTTTAATTCAAATATATGAATGGTATTTAAAATATTGAAAATGAAATAGTCATAGATTTAATTCTTATATTAGATAAATTTTTAAACTTAATATTAAATTCATGTATTTCTACCTATATAATATACTAAATTTTCCAAATTTCGAATAAAAAATATTTTTCTTTCTCTTTAAAAAAAAAACTCAATATGATTAATCAATGTAAGTTATCACGAATCATTCATAGATAAAACATTAATAAAGTTTCGTAAACGTCAATTAATATTAAAAACAGTTAAATCTTTTATCAATTATAATTAAACTGTTAATGAGACCTTATTCTATATTATTGATATCAACACAATTAATCAATAATACAAATTAAAGCAGATTTATAACATCAATCAAAATAATTGGTATATATAGAATGTTAGATCACTAACTTAATTTACGATATAATTAATAATTTTTATGTTAATTTTTTTATCATTTTTTCGTAATATAATTATATTTTAATTAAATTCATTATTCAAATTCTCTAGACGTCAAATCACACATATATCACTTGGTGAAACACATATTTAGACGTTATTTTATTCATACTTTTGTGACAAAAACAAATTATTATATTAAAATATCTTATTTAAAAGTAGCATCACGTATTATAGAATTATTTTTTTGCATTTTTTATGTTCTCTATTTATTTAGTTCACAAATTTTAAAATATAAAGTATAAATAGATCCAAAATTATTTAAAAAATATATAAATTCATTATGAATAAAGATTTTAACATGCTTTAAAATACCGAATTAGCAGAGAGTGCAAAAGCAACTGCCTAGCCAATTCATAGTCATTTGATATTTCTTGTTGCGGAAACTATGTTTAAATTCTGAGAACGCAATTGAATTTAGATATTTATAAATGCAGGCTGCTGTAATTTTTAATTGTTAAAATTTTTTAAATATATTAAATATTTTTTTATTACTAAAATCATGTTCATTTATCATTTTCTCATTCGTATTTATATTTATTTATATTTATTTATAATTTATGTTTAGAAAAATAATAAATTGTATAATTTTTAATACATAAATTATATAATTTATTAAATTAAAAGTATTTTGTGTAAAAATAGTTTCACTAAAAATATATTTTTTATTATACAGAAATTAATTTATAAATAAATATCAACATTTATATAAAATCAAGTATTAAAATTAATAATCTTTAAATCAAGAATTTCTTTAAATTAAAAATAATTCTGTACCATAGTTTATTTATTCTTATATAAAACTCATAAATTTAGAGCAAGTCCAAAACTTCAGAAATAAATGAAAAATAACAAGATTATATTTTGGTATTTAAAGTATTTTTTTACATGAAATTAATAATTACTTTTAAAATACATATGGTTATTTTAAAAAAATTGTTTAAATTATAAATACAATTATATAATATAATAAGCATTAAAATTATTTAAATAAACATATATATATAAATTAAAAAACTTATTTACTTTTTTTATGTTATATGATAAAAGATTTTATCATTATTAATGTATTGTATATTAGTAATTCATATTACGTCGTAGTTTATTATTGCTTCAAAAATACGTTTCGTTTTTTTTATATACATAGGTTAAAATTTATTGTAAGATACAAATATTAAAATAATCTAGTGTTTTAACTATCTATATTCCCAAAATGATTTCTTTTTAATAAATAGTTACATATGTAAACAATCCGTTATTGTATTGAGTTTTTACCTAATATACATTTTTATAAATCTGTAGTAATTATATTTTCACAAATCATGTTAGCTATTCAATAACTATATCATTTAAAGTTGAATACTCTTGATCATAGGAACTCAGTTTTTTATTTTAATTTGACGTTGCTTGTATCAATTAAATTTTCTAAAAAAAAATCAATTAGATTATCGTATTTCAACAATTAACGTTTTACAGAAAAATGTGCTTCAGTAGTGTTTTTTTAGTATTATAATAAAAATCTCCTCATATAGATAAATTATAATATTGAAATTGTAAATTCATTTAAAAGCACGTTTATTTCTATCACTTTTTTATGTGATATTTAAGATTATCAAAAGTAAATATTTTTTAGGGAACTAAATAATCACTGTATCACTAAATATTAAAAAAATTATGAGGTCTTGCCACACTTATTAATAGATTAACTAAAAATTCAAACAGTTGTATCAACGTCAATTGTACCCATGTTTCTAGCATAGTCTAATTAAATTTTGTATTTACATTTTCAAAATATTAAAAAAATTTAGCTTTTACAAATTTTGTTTCACGTCAGTAATTTGTTTGAAAAAGATTTATAATATTAATTATAACTTCTTACAAAAATAAAGTAAAATTGTAATAAATATACAATTGATACTTAACTACGTACAGTTAATACATAAAATTAGGACATATTAGTAATATAAAATAACAATGAAAAAAAATAGTAATAATATCTTTATGACTGGATTTCAATTTATAAACTGCAATATTAAAAATCTAATCCTAGTAAGATCATTAAATAAATAAATTAAATATTATTCATTAGTAAAACAAAATTTTAATAGTAAACTTATGAAAATTGTATTACTTAGTCAAGGATAAAAACAATGAATTATAAGGAAAAATATATGTAGAAAATATTCTTTATTTTAAGTAATCTACTAATAAAATTTATAATTATTTAAGTTATCTAAAACATCGCATTATAAATTTATATTAAAATAATTAAAATTCAAATTATATATTAAATTTAGATTTTAATAAATGACAAGTGAATACAAAAAAATATGTTTATATTTCTATACTTAATCTATTTATTAATAAATTTGAGATATATCATTTTTTTTAAATAGCATAAAAAATGTATGATATATATAATTATTTGTAATAATGAACAACAATTTGTATGTTCTTTTACATATGAATTAATCTAATTTTTCTTATGTATTTTTATTATTATTCTTTATGCGCGAAATATACTTTTTAAACATGATTGATGTTAATGATTAATGATTAATGATTAATTTAAAAGCCTCGGTCTATTGATAATGAATATCCAATAACGAAAAATGATTTTCTATTTTTTTTTTAAAGACTATAAATATTGTTTATTAATTTTCTATTCATCTATGTTTCTAGTTTTCAATCGTTTAAAAAATAATAAAATAGGATAATTTCTAGTGTGTTTTCACTTATCAAATATCTGCAAATATATGTTCTTCAACAATAGAGAGGTTCCCTACTCTAACTTTATAAATAAGTCAAATAAATCCCTTTTTCATTAATCAAACATTGCGTAAAATTTTAAACAATTTTTATGTTCAAATAATTTCATTAATTGAATGGAAAACTATTCAAACATTTCAAAATATGCTGTCAATCAATGTTTATTTATGTAATAATTCACACACACTTTTATTTAATGTACATTTGTTAATGTACACGTTAATTTACAGGCTTTCATAGGCATGGAATCAGAAACTTCCAACTAACACGAGAGTGTTTGAATAGCTATTATGGATGGGTATAGTTTCCACTATAGTCACCTTGTGTAACTATAAGACTTAGCCTCTGTGGCAATAGATAGATAAGAAATAGAAAACTAAGATAAAAAACTACAGAGATCACAGGGTACGTCCCATTCGAAAACAGAAAATATGATATAATGCCACAAAAAAAGTCAGACAAATTAGACCTGTTATTATTTTTTATAAGTATGAAGAGATCATCTATCAAAAATAATGAATTGCAAATATGAAAGCAGCGAAAAAATCTAAAATACATAATTAAAACATAATTAAATAACATAATGTTTTTATTGAATATATAAAAAATGTTAAATGAATATACGTCGGTCTAAAATCTATTATTATACATTCCAAATATTCAAAATAAAATAAATAAATTTAATTTATATTTTGATACTTTATCAAATTTACAACATATTAATGATTAGCGTAAAAATAATTTAATCATGTTAATAAAAAATAATATATTTTAAACACGTTAAATAAATTCAAAAATATTATACATTAATATTACAAGTTTCTTATATTTTTATTATATTAAAAGAATATTATTAAATTGTTTGTGTAATTTAAATTGATATATTTATATATTAATAAGAATTATTTAAATAACAATCTATTAGTTTAACATTAAATATATATTAATGATTAGTTTGATTAGTTTATCATCAGTATAATATTGTTTAATATCGTTTAAGAAATTTTCTATAAATTTATCAAACAGTATTTTGTAAACTTAGGTACTTTTATATACTATTATTCATTAATAAAAATATATGAAATGTATTAATTAATAAATAATAATTATTTATATATCGTTACTTATATCGATAAATGTTATTTAGTGAATACCAAAATATATTTTACAATTTAACAGAGGCATGATTATTTCATAGGCTAAATTTTCACAAGTTTACATTAATAAAGAAGATCGGTTTATATATGAAATATAATTAAGAGTAAACTGAGAATATAGGTATCAGATTATTAATAAGTCAAGTATTTTATATTTTTCAACCAAAATATCAAAGTTGTTAGATAAAATAAATAATTAAATTATACATTCTACGAAATAAAAATATATGTATTAATAAAATCCGGTACTATGATTAACCTTTGCAAAATATTTTATTTTAACATGTTTTATGTACAGTTTTTCAGCTTAAGGCATAACTTTAAACGAGCGTCATGTCATACAAAACTATATTTAAATATTCTCAAATTGTTTCAGATATATGCTCTGTGCTCTTATTGGATAGTATTCTTGGTATTAACGGTTTGTTGTACCCCACTCTTTAGATTTTAAGTAATACATCTCTAAAAATTTCTTGGCAATTAAAGCTTGAACCGTCAGCTTTACTCAATGAATTAGTAATAGAACGTGTGTGTAGCAACTGTTATTAAGATCCGTTGAAAAAGGAAAATTTTTATATAAATTTAAAAACATTTACTATATTATTTGTGAATATATTTCTTTTTAAAATATAATTTTACAAGATTAGAAATGCCAGGCTGTTTCTTTCATGAACCAATTCGCATACCAATTGATCGCAATGAACAATCGGATATACTCAAGGTTTTTATAATTTTAAATAAAGAAAATAAAATTCATTCATTTAATATCTTTGTATACCTTACACTAATTTAAATTATTATAATAAACTAATTAATTGGTAAATGCGAGTGAATAGGTATATTCCGTAACATTACAAAGTCTTTATGAAAATATCACAAAAATATAGTTTGCCTAAAGTACTTTATTTTATGTATTATTATAAAACAATTAGAAAATTTTTTATTTTGTTTTGTACAAAGATCCATTATTATAGAAAATACGTATATAATAAAATATTAATTTATTATTTGCAATAAATCTCAAACATCATTTCGTTCTTTATGTAAATGAATACTTCTCATTTCTTAAATATTATTTTATTGATTTTTAATAATTTAAGCGCGTTAATAAGCTTATGTCTAACACGTTTTAAAACATTTATCGATACTTTTGAATAATAATTAATAAATAAATTATTTAAAATAAAAACAATAAAAAACATGTACCTATACATATTAATAGATAGCCCGTAATATTTTCTTCTTTCAAAATATTTTTCAAATGATAAATGATGTTTTGAAATCTTCTTTCAGGAAAATAATAAATAAATATATAATTATGTAAGGAATAGTTATAATATTTAAGATAATTTCTTATATATATTAATAATATTTAAAGCCTATATTTTATAAATTCAGTACAACAAATATTATGATAATCTATTAATATATATTTATATATTCGTTTATTTATTAAATATTTTATATATAAAAATTTTTAATTATTTTATATTATTCAATTATTTTTATTTTAATACCTCTAATTAATCTATAATAATATATAACGTATTACACATAAAATAATCATATAATAAACCTTCTCTGTGAGTTTTTAAATAATTAATAATATTTAAGATTCGTGTAGTTTTATTCTATAATAATATTAAAATCTATATATGAATTTTTTTAAAACATATACTAAACTAAATTTATTTCAATTATATAATTAATAGTAAGAACAGAATAATTATATACTAATAAACATTTTTATGTATTAATTAGTGTATATTATATTATTGTTAATAATAATTTGTTGATATTATTAGAAAATAGATACTTAGTATTTACAAATATTCAATATATTATGTTTGATATACTAACACGTATAAGGAATATTTATTATATCTAAGCACTAGAAAAGCATGCTCTCATATATAAATATTGATTAAAATATAAGTGAAAAATATTTCTACTGATTTCGATTGATTTGTAGATGTTGGATTCTATTTGAGCTACAGCACACATAATATATATTTATTATCTGAATCTAGTTATTACTTTAGTATATATTTAATCGAATTGTAGAACTGACATTATACTTGGTAATAGCTAAATCCCAGATAATTCAACAAGTGGAGCTAAGATTAAATTACTAAGTATCTTTTTAAGTAATAAATGAATTTTTATTTTTTAAAATAATTCATAAATATAATGAAGACGTAATATATAATTTTAATTTATAAATATAGAACTTGATGGTTAGTTATTCAACAATTTAAATTTTGCTGACTTCTAAATACATTCAATCGTAACAAAATAGTTTTAATATCATAAAATGATGATCTAAAAAAATTTAATTATACAATCATATTGGGATAAAATTTCGTAAAATTAATAATTTTAAAATCAAGTCATCAATTTTGGAAATTTTTAAATGCCCTGTTCAATTAATTTTCTGAATTCACTATATTAAAAAATAAAATTATTAGTAAAACATTAAATAAAAATATGGAATAATGACATAATTTATATTAATTTTTTATTGGTTGTTAATGTATATACCAAAGTCTCTTAACGAAATTAATTTAATATAGAGAAAATATATGAATTTGAAGTATTGCCAATAACCGAAGTAATAAACGTATTTAATATAATTTGAAATTTAAATTTGTTACTTTATATCTATTGCAATAATCACATTAAATATATATATATATATACATGATATATTCAGCCCGAATAACTTAGTTGCTACAATACCATTGGGTAAAAAAAAACCTTATATTTATAGTTTAGCTATCGACGACTACATTATTCTTTGATTTATTTTTACTATCAAAATATTATTTATAAATTCTCACACTTCTATAAAAATTACTAAAAATATTTGTAAAACATACAATATTAAATAAAAAAATTACATATAAATTATTGTACAATATACGTTCGAGATTGCGAGAAAAGTTTCTTGCCACGACTTCCCACGGTCGTTGGACATTCGAGACGTTCTGGTAAACTGGAAAACTTCAGTGAATAGTTACCTTATTTATTCTTGCTTATCTAAAAACGTGCTCATGCTTTTCCGGTGCAGTTAAACTTGTTGTTGTTTACTGCCAAGAAGACGTAAATTCTGAAAGAGTATCAAATATACGTAAGCTATTGAGTACAAACATTTCCTAAATTTCAATGCAATCCAAAACCCCGCACGTGCGACAACAAGCAATAGGCGTACGTGCGCACTCGGCTTTTTAAGACAATGCTTGCATTGTTCCTAATTACGCCGCATCTTATCGATCGCATTGGAGAATCGACCACGCCCTAGAGGACCCTTCATCTAGTCAAGTCCCAGAGAAGGGAGAAGCAACCCGGGAGAGGCGGCCAAAAGTAAAGTCTCCCCACATTCCGACACTTTCCCGATGAGAATATTCGGGACTGAGCCCGGAAGGAAGTGGAAATGAACGCGTGCATAATTGATCGTGCTGCCCAAGGTCAACTTTTGATTGGATGCCGGAAAGAAGAAGGGGTCCCAAGTGGAAGGGTGTCAGTGAACTATTTAAGAAGGACAATGAAATGTACCACCACTTATTCTTCTCCTTATTCTTATTGAACAGATAAGTCACGACTTACTCTCATGGTGGAGGACCAGAGACAAAGTCGTTCAGCTGAGTCATGTAAACTGTCTTTCTACGACTGCGATTCAATATACAGTTATTGTTGGTCTCATCAAACTCTGATAGTATATGTAGTAGATTCTTGTCATCTCAGCAAGGAGACAAGAAAGAAGTTAAGAGCTGCAATTATTGGAAGGGAACTTCTCATCAAGCCTGTGAAGAAGAACTGGGAGCATCACACTACAACTGCAAGTAAGTCCTGACTGTTACTGTTGATTCTTCATCTCACGACTTACTCTGAAAACGGACAGCCGGTAGTCCGACTACAGAAGTTTCCCGCGAATGCTCATGAAGCAAGACTACCTGTTGACGCCACACAGTGGCTTTTTATTTCCTCTAACGATTAGCTGTTGACACCACACAGTGGCTTTTTTACTTCATCTGAAGACCAGCTGTTGACGTCACACTGATGGCGCACAGTTTCTCTAACCTCTATCTTAGGCACGTGCTCACTTACACGGCCCATTATTCAGAGGCAACTGTAACACACGTTGAATTGAAACACGACAAGATTATAGTGTTCGGTCAGAGAACAACAACGATCATAACCTCTCAAGTGATAATATTCAATAGATTATAACCTATTTCTTTTCACAGTAAATCATAATCTCACCAAGTGCATCCAGAGAATAAGAAATTGACCATCCTCTGGTTCTCCAATAAAAATATATCACAACGCCTCAAGATTATTAAGAAATAAAAAGGTCATTTGTAATCTCATCACGATTAATCATCCCAACTTGGAATTAAATTGAAATAAATGGAATAAATAGTAATAAAAATTATATGTGTTGCTTATTGAATCAGTGCATTAACCTTTCACTTGCCCGCGCATTCTCCCACGCAACATGGAGTGGTTTTTTCTAAGTTAATTCTACATGATTGGCTGACGAGTTCATTAGTGGAATTAATTTTTTGAACAATATAAAAAATAAATACAATCGTATCTATATACTATTTACTTGTAAGGAGTTCAATATTTGAGTTATAATTATAATGTATCAGATTAAAATAACATATTTATACAATTGTTAAATTATGTTAAAAAAACTTCGCTAAGAATGTTCTATATTTTTAAAATGGTACTTTAAATTAAAAAATATTCAACCGATTTTAATTTGCATATCTTCACCTGCATAAGCCCACCACAGAGAGATATTATTTATTTCACAAATATGGTTATTTATTAAAAGAAGAAATGACAGTGCACAAAATGCAACTCGTCGTTCCGACTCGTTTTATCAAGGTCGGTTCGACGGATACAATTAGATGCCGATGACAACTCAGAGACCACGGGTGTTGTGCGGTAGCGATGACAGGTCACAAGTGGAATGGATATTATAATAATACAATAAAGATATGGTTGAAGTATGCTATTTATTCTGTTATTTATTAATGACAAGGTAGACTAGTATTACTATTATTACTTGTAGAACTAAATTCTTGGATTGAAGTGATGCGTTGCGGAGACAACTGAGACAACTGCGGAGACAAGTTTCGCTCGTCGACACTAGCGCCTTTTGAACGAGCACGTGTGCGGTTAGGGTTATGAATGCAGCTTTATGATTGAAAGATATTGCAAAGTGGCGCGAAACTGGATTGTCGACACTTGCGCTGGGTTTTGCTTACTTTCGTAAGCTTCCGATTGAACTAAGGTGAGGGTTACTAAAATGAGACGCCCCTCGTGGGCGCAAAACTTGACGACGCGTACTGGAATTTATTCCGCACTGTCGTTTTAAGAGTAGCTTCCTCGTTCTTAGTCCATGTCGATGTAATACTCTGAATCTCAATATATATGTATTATTGTAGTAGATACTACTTACAAAGACTAATCGTTGACTCGTCATCAGACTCTGATATGCGGATTGTCGTAGCTCCCTTGGAACAAGTAACGACGGTTTCTCGAACTGCGTTAGTGGACATGCGGGTTTATATCATAGTTCTTCCGGGGCAGTAACTACTGTTCCAGTAACAGCGTTAATGGACAATCCGAAGAAGTGTAAGTCGTTCCCGTAACACCGTTAAATGGACTTTCACTAAACTTAACTGAGTATGAAATGTCTCAAGGGTTTAATATTGAAAGAGTATTTCTAAAAGAAAGATATCAAAATACTAATAAGCAATAGATATAAAAAAACTGAGAGACACTTCGGAAAGAGTAATATCACTAGAGTACTACTAAAGAAAAACAATCAAGAGTAAATATCACGAGTGTTAAGTATCAAGAGTTAAGTATCAAGAGTAAATGAGTATTGAAAATTGCGCCCCTTAAATACATTTGCTGACCATGAATTTTACTTGAACCCCTTCCCTTATTTTCTATCCAATCAGAGACTCCTCCCTTATAGTGCAAGGGCAGCGCCTCTTTTGGCTTCGGAGTTAATTAAGGGCCTAGTCGTCTCTGGGTCTTCATGATGAGCAGATCTCTCGTTGCTGCTGCCGCATGCGAGAGCATGTTGGCAGCGGAAAGGGGGGGCATCGCTGACACATCTGGTGACAGCATTGCAACTTGTAGACAGCGGGAAGGGGAAGGAAGGTCCGCTTGCAGTAATGCTTGATGTGTTGCCGAGCGGAACAAAAATGCAGATGTCAAAACTATAGGTTTTCCCGTGTTTATGGTATTGTTTTTCCAGATATTTTATGACGCTAGTGCTTAATAATTTTGAGCAACCGAAGATTTTTAATCCAAATAGAAATTTTACGATGTTACTTGCCAGATGTTTTACTGCACTAACAAAAAGAAAAAATGTTCTCGCATTCTCGAATAGACAGGAATTATCATAGTGTTCAGGATTGTAGCACTTTTCAAGAAAATTAATTCTCCGAAATTTGTAATCGTTCTAGATCACGAAATCATAAACATTGACTCTGAAATTCTCGATCATTTTAAATCCTTTGCTTGCGAACGTTCTGTAATGTTTATCTAGTTTTCGCATAGCAACGTCGTTTTGAATTCTACAAAATTTGTAGATCCTTATTTTTCTAGAGTTTTCGACAATGCTAAAGTTTTAATGTCTGACCTATGCATTGCTGCCAGCTGAGTAATCTGCCGTGCGCATATTTAATGGAAACACGCGACAAGCCTATCCCTCTCAGTGAACTTCTCTCAGTGAAGATACGGATCACGGTTTGTCTTGGCAGGACCGCAATTGAAAGTCGCTATCAATCAGCAGAACCGCCACGGAACGAAAAAGCCTACATTTTCGTGTGTGTATTTAACAGGCCTGTAGGCGCTTATTGTAATAACATCATTCAAACAGACTTCACATCTATGAGTAAGTTAGTCAGTTACGTCAACAGTCAAACCATTATAATCAATACACGGTCAATTCTCAAGTGCGCAATCATTGAAAGTAGTCAAGTGTGTTGACTGCTTTATAAGAACGTATACAAGTACAAGAAGCGCAAAATCTGGGTATTTGCTTGGCGCACTTGGTTGAGTCAATTAGGAGGAGACACGTTGAACCGCAAGATGCCACCACACTTATTTCTGTAATCAGAGCTGTACTCCGGATGAGACACTGAACCTTCTGTACGATGCCATTGAAATCGGAGTTGTACTCCGGATTGAGGCGCTGCACCTTTTATACGCCGCCATTGTAATCGGTCTATTCTCCGGATTAAGGAGACAATGCCCACTGCATTTCGATAAGTGCCACAAAGTACTGCCAAATATACTAAGGTATTGAATCATTATATTTGTCATGAAGAGGAGATTCGTACCTAAACTACCATACGTGACACTATACAAGGAGTGTCAAGGATTTACGCCCTTGCACTTCTCAGTGTAGTAATTTGAACCAAGCGCACTACACCAAGAGGACCTGGATATTTACAACCTCCAACCTCGACTTGCAGTGCATGCTAATTCCACGGAGAAATTCACTAAGAAGCGGTAAATTATCAACGATTCTCACGACCACCGTATAATCATAATTGTGTGTTTGTAATTAAAAATTCAATAAATAGAACAAAAAGCAATTGTGTTGATTACTGAATTGAAGCATTAACCTGTCACTTATTCACACTCTTCCACCAGTAAAATGGTGGATATGGTCTAATCCAACCATCTTGATCTTTCGACCACGGGATAACTGGACTTCCGAACACATATATATATAAAAACATTTATTAATGAAACTTTTTTTAAATTAAGAAATTAATTGTACAAATGTTAGAATTTGAGGAACAAATGAAAGTCCACTTAGAATATAATTTGAATAGGTTAAAAATCTTATAAATTAAATTTGTCAGTATAAAAAGTTCAATTAATTAAAGAATTCAGTATTAAATTATAAAAATTAATATCTGTAAGTCGAAAAAAATCTTGCAAATTTTTGTATTTTATATTTAAATATTTATAATATACTTTTATTAATTTTATTAATTTTAGTATAAATTTTTTATTTATTCCAAACATATATCCTCATAATTAATTTAGAATAGCAAAATGTTAAAAATATTAATTAATAGTATATTTGTTCGATAATTGAGGTTTTTTGTCGTTCGAATCGCCAATTCAATTGTTCAGTGGATTAGTCTCTCGCCCTAGTGATTAGTAGGGAATACGCATGTGCAAGGGCAGAAGACATGTACAGTATGCAATTTTGATTTAAGATACCGGTTTATTCTGGCTATTAATAGTTACAATATTGTAGTTTGATGATTCCTGATAGTGACAGAGAGAGAGAGAGGGAATTATTCTATTTCAATGGTGAGGTTGCTTCTTCGGAATGCTGGCAATGTCGTTGATGTTATAGAAATTGTAATGAATGTTGCTTTGTTTCTATGCTGACGTTGAAGGGATCAGTATGAGCAATCGACCATGCTCATTAATGAGCATGAGAGGATGGAAATGTCAGTTTGCAGTCCTTAACATCTTCAAAAGGGGGGAGCATATTAATACCTCTGTGGTATTTATTATGTAAATTCGACTATACTCCAACGGGAGTATGGGAATGTTGTAGCTAATTCGGACTGGAGAAGTGAACGAGCGTCCTCTCCAGTAAAGGCACTGAGAAAGCGTAACTGGACTCCAAGGACAGCGCGGAAAGACGAAGTATTAAGAGGCTATAGCCGACTATTTTAGGAACAGCAGTCTGCCATAAATTGACTTTACTCCAAGGGAAGTGCGAAGGGACGTAACTGTGCTCCAAGGGGAGTGCGAAAAGACGTAGCTGTGCTCCAAGATTTTGTTACTTACATGGCAGACTCTGTGTGAACGTGGTTTGAGCGTGGATGATTACCTTGTACGAGTAATTATTAAATGGTACCTTATAAATTACCGACAATGCATGCTGGTGACTGCTTGGCTTGGTGCACTTAGTTGTTATGTGTATTATGGCTTCACTGTAGAATGACTAACCCTTTATTGTAAATATTGGTAGAATTTAATTATTGTGTATTTCTGCTTGCTAGGCATGCGGCTGAACTTCATAATTGCGAGTTATAACTTATATTGATTGATTGAGAAAATACGGTGCGCGATAACAGATGAGTGAACAATACGTGATAGTACAGTGAGCCCGGTGCGCGATGACTGAGTAGATGGTAAAATCACAGTAAGCCCGGAGCGTGAAGACTGAGTAGATGGTACAAGCACAGTGGGCCCGCTGCGTGATGAGCTGCTCTTAAATATTCGGGTAGCAACTTGCGATGCTGGCAACAGCGCTTGGGCTTGTTAATGACGTCAGAAAACTGAGCTCCAGAATATTCGAGAAGTGCCGAAGGACACTGCCTTAGAAGGTTCGAGAATTTTCATCGACGTTGCTATGCGAAAATATTGTAGTACATTTGAAAATTAAGGCGTAGATAATTACTGTTTACAAACATGACCGTCCGAGAGCTTGTAATTTCCCCAACTTTTAAATTCTTCGAAGTTGCTCCAATCTCGAACAATAGTATAACGATGAAAGAAACAATTGCATTATGATAAGTAATCGTGTAGTTTACTATAGTGTAATATTTATATATGTATAAGTATATGGGTGTATATAAAGTATAAATACATGGATTAGGCTAGTAATAAATAACAATGTTGACACTTAGTATGACACTGATTATTTTTTTCTACTTTTTGTTTGGCTTGATTACAAGCTAAAATAATATTATATTGTAATATTATCGATAAAAACTGTAATAAAATAATTGTTTCTTCGAAATATGTAATTTTTTCTATTTATATTTTCTATTTATATTTTATTATTATCTATCTGAAATTTTCCCAATCGGAGTTGTTAACAAAGTAATAGAATATGAATGTGAATTTAAACTCCGAAGTTTATAAAAAATGGACTCAATATTCATTACTGATAAATGAAAGGAAAAGGCTGAGTACACATTGAATGCAAATTTTTAATTGTAAACAAATATGAGTAAAATACTATCAAAATGAAATCCTCTCTAATTTGTAAATTTACTTTTAAGTATTTTAAAAAATTATAAATTTTTAATTTATATTTTATTAATAAGTTCTATAAAATATTAAATATTCAAAATCAATAATAATAGAAATATATGTATAAATATAAACAAAATTTTAATATACTCTAAGTTATTTATATTTTACTTTTGAAATAAGAAATAATAATAAATCGTCAAATTTTACATAATAAAAAATTCTAAAGATTCGAATTTACATACCTACTGTAATAAATTCTCAACTTAGTATAAATTTTAAATATATCAAAAATATTAGATTATATTAAAATATAAAATACAAACATTTTCAGAAAAATGTATTGAAATTAATCTATTGTTTACTACTTATTTATGAAATGGATGTTACAAAACAGTTTCATGAATTCAACATTGAAAATTAAAAAAATTGATTTAATTTTTTAATAAATTTTAGGGTTCTCAACTAATAAGAGTTTCAAAGTTTTATAACGAAAGTAAAAATGGAAAATTTATAAGTTTTATTCATGAAGATACACGGACATTATATGATGCTTTTCGAAAAGGTGCGAAAGAATCCAGTAAGTAATAATATTTTACATTTACTAGATATTTAAAAAATGTTTGAAGAAATAAAATACTATCTAATGTGCTATGGAATATTATTAGAAAATAATATTCATCTCACATACATAATGTACAACAATATATATAATTTATTATATTCATATTACAAGTCTTAAGATAATGATTAATTTGATATTATTTTAATAACAATCCTATTTTAATAAGAAAAAAATAACTCAACCCACAAAGAAAAATAAAGAAAAATTCAATATATAATGATTATATTATATATAAATATAATTATATATATATATATATATATATATATTGAATCAAAATATATACAATGAAGATTTCAATATTTAAAGCTTAATGTATTTTTAATAAGTGTTTTAATTATTTTATTTAAAAATGTTTTTTGATTATGATAGTGGAGTTTGAATTGATTCAAACTTCAAATTGATTATGAAAATGTTAATAGATGAATAGCAATTATTAATGCATTTAAACATAAAATCTAACTTAAGCAGATGAACAGTTATTTTTATTTATTAGTTAGTTTCTTGTTAAAATTTTAATTAACCAAGCTAAATGTTGATGTGCAATGTCAATTCATTAATGTAAAGCAAAGTAAACTAATTTAAAATAGAGTAAAACATATTTTATAAAAGAATATTTTAAGTAAATTTCAATCTATTTTTATTAATTTGCTTATATTTGTATATGAATATTACAAGGGGTATGATAAAATAAAAAATTGGCATCAATAAAGGAAAAATACTATATACCAATTTCATACAAAAAGTAGAATAAAGTTATTACTAAAAATAATTTAATACACAAATTAATAATAAAATTTACGCTCTAGTAATTGCATCTTAAATTTCGTATATTACTCGTACGAATTGAATTTTTATAAGAAAGAAAAATCTATATTATATATAATTTGAGTGTTATTTATGAATTTGAACTTCATTATGTTTATCATTTTTTAAATATATCTATTAAATATAGTACGCTAAATTCGATTGAATTTATCAATCTAATATAGATATATACTCGCTAACGTACCGCTTTGAATAAATTATAAGAGTATAAAAAATACAACGAAAAAATTCAAATTTCAACTTATTTCGTAAAACTTACGAAACGGCTTATAAGTATTCTTAATATACATGAACATCTTATTTAGTAAATAACTTAAAATTCATAACTTTATTTTGAAATTAATATTTAAAAAAAAAAGTTATTTATATGCTACTATCCGACTCCTGCATACATTATTTATATAATTATCTTTATGTATATCTACACGTAAATGTATTATCTATATCATTTTGTTATAATTAATTATATAGAAAAAACAAAAATAATATTGTCAATGAAAGGAAAATATTAACTATAAATATATTTTTATGTATAAAAATACATAATTGGTGGTGACCTTATAAGAAACCAAAGTCATTTTCAACTCTTAGGTACAATATTTAAATGTAGATATATGCATTTGTTTAATTATTCTAAGTACCTAAAAGAATTATAAACAAATAAATATTAAATTTCTTATAATTATCACATAATATAATTAATATAATGACAATTGTGAATAAATATAAAATTGATGGAAAAATAAAAATATAATAATAATAATAAATTAATAAAACATATTAAGATTAATAATTTTTCTACGTTTATAAAATTACTTTTAATAACAAATTATAATAATATTTATCTATAACAATAATAAAAAATATCAATAGGAATGGAACAGTAAATTACTAACATTGCAATTACTGAGAATAAAAATATTTAGAATATATTAAATAAAACTAATATTTTTCATTATTTTATGTGTAATATAAATATTAATATTGTGTAATATATGTAATAATAATAAAATAAATAATGTATAATATAAATAAAAATGTAATAAAATATTGAACAATTAGTTTATTCATAATAGAATCAATTATAGTTAATAATAATAATTAATCTTTGATTAATAAATAGAATAAGATTTCTTCTCTTTTGAATATTAATTTCGGAAATCTAAGAATGAATAATTTTGAGACCATATTATTGTTGATGCTGGTGTTAATATTATTATATTATTATTATATGTGTAATCGTACAGTATTTCTTATTTGATAATTAAAAATAAATGTCTTTATTGACATTTACAGATAATGGTCCCTGCCTTGGATGGCGCGATGGACCTCTTCAATCGTATCATTGGTTACATTATAATGAAACCCTTTTAAGAGCAAAAAATTTGGGATCTGGTCTCGTTTCATGCGGTTTACAACCATGTGCTCAAACTCTAATTGGTCTTTACAGTCAAAATTGCCCTGAGTGGATATTAACGGAACAAGCTTGCTATACATATTCGCTTGTAGTCGTACCTTTGTATGATACTTTAGGACCAGATGCATGCGCATATATTATAAATCAAGCTGATATAAATTTGGTTGTATGTGAAAATGATCAAAAATGCAATTTGCTTTTGGACAAAGCACCAAGGTAATATTTATTTACATATAATATTTTCTATTATTTATAAATTGTCAATGTATTCGTACTTTTAATTATTTACAGTTTGTTGAAAGTTATATTAATTTAATAAGAAAATGAATTGTGTTTTATGAATTATATAAATCATAATATCACACTCATATATACAATAAAATTCTTAGCTTTAAAATAATTTAATATAATTTATCTAACATATATAAATATACATAAATATAAAACTTTTTACATGTAAACAGGTATTGAAAGAAATTATGCAATAAAAAATTTATTTTCAAAATATTATATTATCAAAGCTATAACTAAATCTATAACTAAATAATACTATAATAATAATAAATAATAATAATACTATAACTAAATTTAAGAAGTTAAAAAATTTAATTTTGTATAATGGAGATTTTTCTTGAGAATATTATATGAATGACTTAACAAATGTAAATTAACTTTGAAAAAATTATTTTTACACATTTATATTGAAGCTGAAAATATTAAAAAATTATTGTTATGAATTTATTTCAAATTAATATATTAATTATTTAAGTGTTAGAGTAATAAATTATATATTATTCAACAAGTACAATAGTTCTTTCATTATTCTACAAATTACAGTATATTGTTTTATTTAAATATTGAATACATCGAATTCTGTTCAGAGAAAAAATAATTAATTGTTAAAAAATAATGATATTTATTTTTATTTAATGAACGAAATACTTTATTATCAAGGCAACAGTACTATAGTCAGATGCATTTACAATTAAGTATTTATTTATATGTATGCTTTGAAGTTTTGATTTAAATTGATTACTATTGATTATAACATTACAAATTTTGGCAACTATTTGTAATGAGTCAGACACCTAAATACTCGAACTTAATAAAAACAACAAATACAAAGTAATAAAAGAGTTTGCTAACTAGTACAAATTATGATCAATTATTTAATTTAAATGAAGTTTCATTGAGTAAAATATAAAAATTAATTATTATAATTAATTATAGAAAATAATCTAAACAAACTCATGAATATAACATAATTTTAGGGAGAAAAAAGAAACAAATATATGGAATAAAAATATATATTCCGTAATCATTCTAATGTATTTTTACTATATATTTAAGCTTATAGACATATTTTTTACAGCTATTGAATACATTTAAAGTGATATCGTATCGTACATAATCATTATAAGAAGAAGGAGCTACAAATTATATATTTTAAATAAGTATTTTATGACATACTTTCCTTGAAAGTTATATGAAATTATTTTCCATTTCCTTAAAAATTCATTAGAAGTAGTTTCTATTTCTTAAACCAGAATTAAAATCCATTTTATTAAGAGACCGAAGCAAAGGCTAAAAAATATAATTTTATATAATGGTTAAAAATATATGAATGTTTACCATACTTTAACTATATAATATTATACCTATTGAAACAAAAATACAAACTTTCACTTATATGAAGATCTTCGACTAATTGATCTATGAATAAGTTCTGGAACTAATTTTTTTATTCAATTTTAAATTTTAAAAAAGAGGGTAAACAAAAATTATAATTGTGTATATAATATTCTTGCACAAATTGAAATATGAATCTATAGGATTTAGTTATATTTAACTTTATCGTCAGTCTGTAGCAATTTTGATCCTTGTGATGTTTGTAAATAAATAGTACCAAGAAATATATAAAAACATAATAGATAACAACAAAATTTATATTCTATCTTATATACACACATGCTAAGTAAAAGCACAGTATAAGTTATAAAAATATAATTGAAAATATAAAAATTTATTCTAAAGTTTGTAAAATCAACTTCATTGTTTTACATTAAAACGGAAATAATGTTAATCATAATTAGCAAAAAAATTATTATATAATAATTAATAAATAAATAAATAATAATAATAACAATAATAATAACAATAATACTATAATAATTATTATATTCTTATAATTCGTAAATTAAAATAATTAAATATTAATTAGAACGTACAATAGCTCGATTAAATTAATGAAAAACATCATATTTTACAATATACAAAATTTTGTATATTTTTTTAAATTAAACATACAAATAAATGATCTAATACTAATTTATATCAAATGACCAAAGTTATTTTGCTCGAGAACGTAAATAACATAATGAAACTAATCTATTATTGTGAAAACTTAAAATGTTATACTTATAAAAATATGTCATAATAAAAATCCTTTATTTAAAATTATATTTTAATATTTTAATCAAACAAAACCTTTTTAAATAATTTTTAAGAAATTTTAAGAAACTTTAAGAAATTTAAATACCTTCAATGTGAGATTAATTTATTATATAGTTTCTCATAATTTTAAAGATTATCATAATATAATAGAAATAATATTTTAAGTTTAGAAGTGTACAAATGGCTAAAATGGTGAGAAACTAATAACTCAGTCTACACTATCGTAGACCCAAACAAGATTTCATTTGATAAAATTTATCCATTAATTTTTATTTAATTCGATTGAAGTATTGAAATATAATTATTTTCGATAAAATATTTTTAGTTTTCATAGAAATATTTGAATATTATTGAATAAATTATTTGTATTATTACGAAATGCATCTTAGCCATAAAGATATATACATTTCAACGAAAATGTAAAGCAACGATAAATATCTAAAAAATCAAAGTATTTAAAATTATTTTGTAAATTGACAGAATTTTTATATTTTACAAATATATATTATTTATATTATATCATATTTTTATAAAAACACATATTGAATTATGAAATTACTTTTGCAACTGAATATAAATACTAAAAATAGCCAAATACAGATTGTATTAATTTTGTTATAAAATTAATTAATTAAATTACAAAAACCTAATTCTTTAACGTCATAATATTCAATTAAGGCAAGCAAATTGTAAAAAAAAATTTCTTTTAAAACTATTCAGCTGAGTAATTTTTTCCTGTAATAGACATTTAATGATTATTGCTGTTGATCGGAGTCAAGAACTTCATACGGATGAAGGAGTTTCTTCTTAATTCTTTAAAGCTTGTCACAATTATATTCTTCATACTGTGCACTTTTCAATTTTTTCTATTAAAAGTGTGTCACATTATAACAATAGTTTTCATAATACAAACGATAGTTCGATACTCACATATTTGTGGAATAAAACTTAGTTGTAGCATCATTAATTTTTTACATTTCCGTTTACAACTGATACAGTTTCATTATAATTAAAACTTTTATTTGAATTAACTTTCTTTTTCTTTCATTAAAACCAAATTAACAATTACTTTCATTATCTATCTTTTTTGAAATCTATATTAAATATATTGATTTTTACATTAGGTTCTCCTACTACAATATTATTACTAAAAATAATATTGTAAACCCACGTACTTTTTCGTTATTTTATGACTTTTATCAAATAACGATCCAAGCATTGCATAATATTCAACTAAATTCAAGTTTTTGTATGTAATTATTATTTTATAACTATGAGTAAAAAAATTAATTATCACAAATGTATTGATTAATATAAAATTATAAAGATTTTTATAATAAAAATTGTAAATACTTAACTCTATTAGTCAATTTTTTGACGATGTACAGTTTATGGACTGTGACTTTACATTACATTTGGAAATACAATTAATAATATACTCAGACAATACGTACTACGGGAGTATTTTAAATATCTTAATAAAAAAACTGAATTATTAACCCCAGTTAATCTAATTTTTCATATCCAATACATCAATAATTGAAATCCTGATAATCATTGATGTTTTGATGGATGGTGTATGATTAAATAGTGCTTAGTTTATGTACGCCTCTATCTCCTTGTAATGAAAAACCAGTGAAATTTGAACTTTATTAAAAATTATACTATACACTGAATATGATATTATAATCTGAAATTTTCAATTTAGATTATATAGTAATACTTAATATTAAACATAGTTACATTTATTGGTCTTTAATCACTTCCAGTGTAATGATCTGTAATATTAATAATATAGTATTTATATAAATAATTATTGAATGAAAATAATTGATATATTTATTATATTAACTTAATAGGTCGTGAGCAACAAGTTTTAATTACTTTTATATTCATAATATTCAGTTCATTCATCATATTCAGTGTATAGTTTAATTTTTAAATTTATGAATGCTATAATTAATTTTCTTTCTGAAATTTACATATTAGATTAGTGTGAAGGTATTAAAAAACAAACAGTTGTTATTGTTTTTTCTTTGCATACCTTGGAATGAATATGTATTTTCAATATTAACATTACAATTCATACAATTAATTTTCCTAATATAACTTAAAAGCATATTTTCGTTTCATTTTTAATTATTTTATTAATAATTTATTAAAAAATTTAAAGTTTATTTTGTTTAAATACTAATATTTGATTTACTTAAGCATTGTTATTAATTGTTTTGATATTTCTACTATTATCAAGAAAAATTACTAAATTTTAATTATTTCCAACGTGTCTTTCAAATTACTCTTTCATTGTTCACATTTATAAATTACTATAACAGTGCACATAATTTTTGTTCTGTATTATTTCCGTAATGTAACTCCTTTCATTAAAGGTAGCAATTCGAAAGTTTGTAACTTGTAATACGGCGTTCATTTGATAATACACATACACTTCAAGATTTATCAATATTTTGAATTAATTTAACGAATTATGTAAAAAATACTATTTTTTTTATTCTGTGTATTCTAACAATAATTCTAACAATCTATTTGATATTCTATTCTATTTCTCCTTTTAAGGTATAGAGTACTTTGTAATTTTTTTTATGTCTTACATGTGAAAATAGTATGCATCTTTTTATAATTAATAGGTTATAGATTCGACATTACAGTATTCTATAATGAGAAAATCTCAAATACTAGAAGCTAAACATTATGTATATTAAAACAACATTAAAAACAGTAGGTTTACAAAAATTATTTTTTATTTTTAATTGTACAAAAAACTTTTTTATTTAATAACGATGGAATATTCTAATTTATTGGTCTTTTTTGTCCTGTCTGCATCAAAGTGTCAGTCATTGATCATTCACTATCCTTCGCCAGGCTATAGCAGAATATTAATTATATATCATTTTCATTTTTAGCTTGTTTACTGTTTAGAGTGTACAAAATATTGAATTATATTGTACTGCCATGACATGCTTGTACTAACCCACTTTGGCACTAAACCCTAGCATAATCAGTAAATCTCCAATTGTTTCTTCTAATAATATATTACCATAAATTTGATTCTAAATTTTACTATATCTAATCTATAATCTAATCTAATCTGCAAATAAATAATTACTTGATCCCGTAGCTCCTCATTGCATGGTACTATAATATATTAAATAGATAAACATCATACTGTATTATTTTGTAATTTGTTATGTTCGTCTAAAATAAATAACGACTGAAATTCCGTCTTTTTCTTAATTGAAGTAATTAAAATTCTCCTTATAATAATATAATAATGTAATATCTTAAGAAAAAAAGTATTAAAACTACAATGAAAGAATCGTTTTACTGAATGATACTAATTTTGCAGTTATAGAATCAGATTAATTTTTTTTACTTACTGTAATTTCATATAAATTACAAATATCTACGTGCAGAAAATAAAAATATTTTCTAAACTTGACAACATAAATAGAGTTGATTATACTTGTTACAGTATTATATATTTTTATTTATCTAATGTCAATATTATATTCACTATTAAATTCATATGATATCAAATCCCTTATGGAAATTTTTTTTTATATTTATTTTTGTACTATCGTATAGATACTTTTATTTCAATTAAATTTATTTTTTGAAATAAATAACAGAAACAATATAGTAATATAGTATAATTATATGTATACTGAAGAATTAAAAATATATATTCATTGTTTTAAGCATTTAAGGTGTATGTATTTGTTTTTAAATCTGCTTATACGAACGTTTTCATTATTTAAACTGTAAGTGAGAAAACATAATAAATTAATATTATTATTGTTTTAAACAATTGTTAAAATTATTATTTCCATTTTTAACAAAGTTAAAGCAAAATAAAAAATAATGTAAAATTAAAATTTATAAAAATTGAATACGGTTTGTACTAAAAATTTTTTTATGACATAAATTTCTTATGAAAATAATTTCAAATAAAATCAAAAATATTTTCGAAAAATTTAAAACTATTAAGTTAAAATTTAAAGTTTAATTAAAATTAGAATAAAATCAAAACTTTATAAAAATTTATTAAGAAATGATATCCAAAAAGTTTATATATAAATCATCATGGCTTTTTTTCTTAATAAATAATACCGAATTATTTATATACACTAATCTTGTAAAATTTGCATCTAAAAAACATAAATAATAAACTATTATTAAAATTTAAGAACATTAAACATATTACAAATATTTTAATTTACAGATAATATTATTTTTTCTGACACGTATTGAAAAAAGATTCAAAAGTTTGCTAAATTTCTCCTATTATTTTTAATTTACTCACTATTATTTCAAACTATTCTATATAGAAATACTTGTTTCGCGAGTTTATTTAAATCTATTAAAGTTTTTGGTGTATTCAAAGTTAAAAATCCTTTAAAAAGGTAAAATATTTTAAATATAAAATTCGAAATTGATTATTTTTAAGCATATTTTGATAAAAAATTTATATCTAGTTTCTTTGCTTTTCTTTCATACGTTTAAGCTTGCAAATTCTTGTTCACAATTATTACTTATAGTACCAATTTTGTTTCTATATTTTCATCTGTTTTAACTTACTATTTAGTTAACTTTTCTTTAATACAACAACCTTTTCCTATCCAAATTCAAACCAAATCAAAGTCAATTTGTTCCCTTCAATGAAGTATAAATTATATGTGCTGTTTTTAAAGTGTAATACTATTTTATTCTATCTTTATTAAAATAAGTATTGTACATAAATCATAACATAATAATTTGATTTAATTAAGAAAATATTTTTTATATACTTTCTAAATTATGAATATGATCTATCACATGCTATATATATATATATATATATATATATATATATATACACAGAACGTAATCTGGAAATAATATAAAAATAAAATGTTAGAATTAAATAATCTTTGAGTATAACTAAATTCTGATGAGATACAGCTTAAATGTAGTTGGTTTTTATATAATTAAAATAGAATAATAATATAGGTATTTATATATAATTTGAAAGTAATGATTATGAATTTATACAAGTTAATAAAATCTCGTAATGATAGAATTAAGCTTAAATAAACTGTCAAGTACTGAATTGATGGTTATTTTTAACTTTCAGTATGATCGTCAAAACAGGAAATTATTTCGAAAAATTAGATATAAATAAAATTATCTGAAGGTCAAAAGTAAAATACGAGATATTCACCAACAACTAGGAAAGGTAAGAATATTTACAGGTACGAGTTTTATGAGTAATTATATAATAATTCAGTGAATGAAAGTAGGTAAACGTCATATTTATTCTTATTAAATAAATCGATTAAAGCTGTTAATACTGTTATTGTTTTTGTTATTGTTATTGCTGTTGTTATTGTTATTATTGTTATCGTTATTGTTATGTTAAGGTCGTATAATGATATAAATATATTTAAATTAAAATTAAATACAATTAAATTAATTAATAACAAACTGACAAAATGAGTACGTAAAAGAAATACATCAACTGTTAATCTACGTAAAACAAAAACATTAATGAATAAAAATTTGATACCTAAGACCGTCAATTGAATTATAATATTGTGTATATTTAAAAGGCAGTATATATAATAGTGTTATTTAACTACTTATTTACTGGCTACACTAATTATTTGATCATTTATACCAACATATTTTAGTAGCTCGCATAACTTCTCGAAAATGGTAGTCGAATTCTATTTTTATATTTTTAATTTAATTTTTTAAGTGTGTATACATGAAATTTTAAGCTAATTTTTCATTATAAAATTAAGAAAAAATAAAATAAAGAAATTATTCGTAAATATTAATTATAAATATTTCATAGAGAATATTTTCTTTAATAAATTAATAATATATATTAATTTATAATAGTCTTGTTGAGTGAGTCTAGAAGAAATTGTGCAATTCATATCTGGTGAAGTTTTACGCTTTCTACACTTCTCCGTGAAAAGGGATCTGTGCAAGGTACACTGCTAAAAAATAATTACCATTTATTGCCATTGAGCGCAAAATTGTACGCGATTCGCCTTCAGCGATACTGATTCTCATTTATATCACTACCGGGCGCCGCCATTTGCCATGCATCTCCAGCAAGGATAATTATCATATATTGCTACGGAGCGCCAATTTGCTCGCGGTAAGCCTTCAGCGATACAGACTGATAATACGGCTACCAGGCGCCGTCATTTACCATGCGCTTCCAACAAGGCTAATTCACATTTATACTGCTACTGGGCGCAACTGATCGCGGTATGCCTCCAGCGAGAGTAATTTCCATCATACTGCTACAGGGCGCTGCTACTTGCAACACGTCTCTAGGTAGACCAGGTTTCCCTTGCACACCCGGACGAGGCCCTGCACTTCCTTTCTGTCAACTGTCAAAACCACTAGATGAACTCAACAACACTCACTACTACCGGTAAATCGCTTACATAATTGTAATTGAACCTAAAATAAATGTCATGAAAACCAATTGTGCTTATACTGAATTTATGCATTAACCTCTCACTCATTCCCACTTTTCCACCGTAAAACGGAGGCATGGCCTAATCCAATCACCTAGGTCTCTCAAACGCCGGGTGAGTGGAATTCCGAACATTTGATTTTTTATTTTTTTATTTTAAGATTTTTCTTTTCATATTTATTCTGAGTATTACGATGGTACTATTGAATATTATATTTACATTTAAAATCATTTCAATTTATATTATTAGTTAACAATTTTCGTTGGATCATCTTCAAATTTTAGGCTATATTTTATACATTACATATAATATATATTACATACTTTTTCGTGGTAAAAAGTCTGATAATTTTTTTATCATTGTCTTTCAATTATTGTTTAGCATACTTTATAATATTCTTAAAATATTAAATATTTAATTATTTTACAATTTTTAATAGGCATATTTATCTTTTATACAAATAATATTACAAAATAAAAATTAAATTTAGAGTAAAATGACAAGTAATGAGATAAATTTCGTATTTTGTCATTTAATAGCAAATAATTTTATTGTATTTATAGTAATTAAAATTATATAAATATAGTAATGTAATTAATTGAGTCATCGGTCATTAATTCTTTAGTTTATTTATGAAAAATGAAACATTAGTAAAAAATCCATATATACTTTGAACTGAATAAAATAATGCTATTGTTTTCTATAATAATAAACCAAGAATTTTACTGCAGTTTTATAAGTAAATGTTATTTATTTAAATATTCTGATACATACTGACATTATTTTATTTATAAAAATACTTTTGTAACAAAAGCAATACTTTTTCGCTATCGAAATAGTTCTTTTCAGTGTTTTGTATATTTTCTTCAATAAGCATTTGAATTATTGATAACTTATATTTATTAGTAATAATATAAAATATGTTTTATATTTAGAAAATTATAATGTTTTGTACATGATTAGATATATTATCTAATCTATAGTTATATAGTATATAATCTATGTTAGATATATTATCATAACTATATTAATTTGTATATAATTCTTTAACAATAATTATTGTTACAAAATATTTAATGTTTTATTTTGAGTCTTATAATTATAATTTTAAGTATTTTGATAACATGCATAAAACTGCAAGTGAAATTTGATTAATTAAAAATTTAAATTAAAGTGATCCTTTAGTATTATAAGCAAAATTATATAACATTATAAATGTATTTATTTAAAAAATATAAATTTATATGCAGCTATTTACCTTTTTTAGATGCTTACGCAAGTTAGTTGTTATGAAAGAAATAAAATCGTCAACAAAACAAAGAGCAAAGAATAGGGGTATAGAACTATATCGTTTCGAAGATATTGAACAATTGGGTTCAGAAAAAAATAATCCGGAAATGCCGGCATCTTATATGGATCTTTGTACAGTTTGTTACACTTCAGGAACGACTGGTAATCCAAAGGGTGTTATGCTAACTCATCAAAATGTTATGGCTGGTGTTTGTGCTGTTTTACTTCAATTAGGAGATTATAAGCCTACACCCAAAGATACAATGATTAGTTTTCTACCACTAGCTCATATGTTGGAAAGATGTTGTCAAAATGCAATGTACATGGTTGGTGGATCAGTAGGCTTTTTTAGAGGCGATATTAAAGGATTATCAGCTGATATGAAAGCATTAAAACCAACGGTTATGCCAGCTGTTCCACGACTTTTAAATCGTATTTATGATCAGGTTAGTTATATTCCTAATTCTACTTAAAATTTAAAAAATTTGATATTATAAATAAAAGTTTTCTATTAAGCATTTAATACTACGTATCAAACATATATTTTAAAATTAATATTAATTATTTTATAAATGCTATTATTATAATTATATAACTATTATAACTATAAGAAAATTTTTTGTACATCATTTTATAATATTACAATTTTTATTTTATTAATTAAATGTAAATTATATAATAAAAATTAAAAAAAATAGAATACCAAATAACAGAAATAAAAATTCAGTATACAGCATATACATTTTTTTAGTCAATTATGCAGTTAATTATTTATATGTTTTTATGCATAGTTTTTGTTTGAGAATAAGACTCCGTTTAGTAAGGCAATAAAATATCTGACAAGTAATGTCATGAAAATTGTATTTAAGACTTCAAAACTTTCCTGCTCATAATTATTTGTACTAGTGTCATAAAACATCTGGAAAACTCTAGCGGAACGTGCTCATACTCCCAGTGCAGTAGAACCTAATGGGTTTACTGCCGCGAGAACCCCAAAGTAAATTCAGAACGAATATCAGATATGCGTGAAGCATTGAGTACAAATATTTACTGCAACCGAAAACCCGTACGTACTACACATGCAATGACCATACGTGCGCACTCGGCCTTTAAGACAATGCTTGCATTGTTCTTGGCTATGCCACATCTGGTCGATCGTATTGGAAAATTGACCACGCCCAAGCGGACCCTTCTTCTAGCCAAGTCCCAGAGAGGGATGAGGCAACCAAAGAGAGGTGACCAATGGAAAAGGCTCGCCACCTTCCGACACTTTCCCAATTAGCAAATTCGGAACTGAGCCCGGAAGGAAGTGGAAATGAAGGCGTGCATAATCTATTGTGCGACCCAAGATCAACCACTGATTGGTTAATTAATAAAGGAAGAAGGGATCCCAAGTGGAGCGGGATCAGTGAATCATTTTAAGAAGGGACTACGTAATGTACCCTCACTTACTCTTTCCAAATACTTCTTACAGTGAAGGATAAGTCACGACCAACTCTCACGGAGGAGGACCGGAGAGATGAGTCGTTTAGCTAGCTGAGTTTTAATAATAAGTTCTTTCCACTATTGTGAATTAGTGTACAGTTGAATTGATCTCATCAAGACTGGATTGCGTGGGACCTGACCACTTGTGGTCTCACTTGGAGACAAGGAAGAACTGAAGGGTTGCAACATTGCAAGGGAACGTAATAACAAGCCATCGAAGAGAGACTGGAAAATCACGATACACTGCAAGTAAGTCCTTACAGCTAGTACTCATTCTTGATTTCTCGGCTTATGTAGAAGACGGACGGATAAAGTCCAACTACGGAAGCTTCCCGGACATACTCTTGAACAAGACCAGCTATAAATGCCACATTGGCTTCTCAATCCCTCCAACTGCAAGTTGTTCCCGCCACAGATGGCGCACAGCTTCGCATAACCTCCATCTCGGCTCTCTTACGACCGATATTTAAAGGCAACTACACACGTATTAAGATAAACACAATAGCATTCCAGTGTTCGATCAGAGCACTACAATCATGATAACCTCTTAGCGATAATATTCAATAGATTATAACCTGCTTCATTCATAGTAAATATATTTTAACACCACAAGATAATCAAGAAATATAAAGTTCGTCTGTAATTCACCCTTTTGTAAATCAATTCAAATAAATAGAAATAATAAAGACATGTGTTAATTATTAATCAGTGCATTCACCCTTTACTTGCCCGGCAACCCCACATAACATCTAGTGGGTTTTATTGTTCTACGTTAATTATTGCACGTTTTGGCTGACTAGTCAAATTGTGGGATTATTTTCCGAACAGTTTTAAACAATCGAAGTGTTGGAATAAGCGTTTTCTGTTTATTAATCGTATTTATTTATTAACGAATTTGAAATTTTTAATATTAAATTGTAATTTAAAGGAACGTTAATTATAATAGAATAATATATCATTATATATATATATATATTATAGGATATATTCCCTAAAAGGGAAGACTTGTCAGTTTACAATTTATATATAAAATCATTAATTTTGTTAAATTAGAAATCTGTGTAAATTAATCTTTTCGAGTTTAATTTTAATTTTAGTAGAATAAAAAATCTTTTGATGATACTTATTGGTTTTTATTTTTATTTACATGATGATGATATTTACATATGAATAATAAATATGGAAGATCCGCGGAAAATCATAATTTCATGTTCATTTTATTACATGTATATCATAATTGTCATATAAAAGTTAGAATTAAAAATATGACTTTCTACGAATATATGCTAAAATTTATAAATTATTTTCTGATAAATTTGTTTAAAGCGTAAAAGGATCAAAATTATTTCTATAAGCAAACAAGTAACATTTAATATAAAATAACTAATAGTAATCCTAATAGTAAATCAAGAAAATTTAGATTAATAGTGATATGAAAATAGGCTTAAGACGTAATCTAATATCATTAAATAGTAATTTAATTTACTTTTGTGTAAATGATAAGGTTACACCTAAAAGAAATAAGTTACAAGACCCTTATATTATAATCTACAAAACAAACACAAAAAATGTACGTGTCATAAAAGCTCACCGATCGATAAAAATATGTTATCCGGTATGTTAGCTTCACAGTTAAACTCGAATGGAAGAGGTAAGAAATAAATATAGAGATATTTGTTAAATAGAAATTATACAAAACATGTTCTAAATGAAGCGTATTGTTATGAATGAGACAAGTTAATTTTTTAAAATACTTTTACTGATATTTGAGCAAATAATAAATAGAAAGTGATCGTTATATACAATACTGTATCTGATCTGTTGTGTGAAATCATATGATAATCTATATAGTTTGATGTATAATGTATTAAAATTATATAGAAATTATTTTCATTATTACGAAATAAATAATTTATATCTAAATAGAATAGATAAGAAATATTTAAAAAATTGAAGATAAGATTAATCGAAGTATTTTTTATGTGCAGAACAAGTTTGTACTCATTAATAAATACTAGCATTTATAATATTTTATTAACAGAACGTTTACAAATTAGTGATAATGTTATATTATATAAATATAGCGAAATATCCAACAAAATAAAAATATTATCTTTTCTTTATGAAATATATTACTTTTCTATACATTTTTTTATATTTGAATAGATACAAGCATATATTAAAATCTTCTGTAAAATCTTGACCAGTTTTTTTTTCATATTATTAATTATTAATAATAAATAAAAGACAGTAAAAGACCAGACTTTTTTCATATTATTGATTATTTATTTTTATTTTTTTTTTTATATAGATTATTTATATATAGATTATAATATATATATATATATATATATATATATATAATATAAGTAAAAAACTTAACTTTTATTTAAACGTAGTTCAAACAGATTCTAAATTCTTATTAACCAATTTTCCTTCAAAACTAATTGCTTCTTCCGACCCTACGTAAATTATATAGATCAATTTTTAATTAAAGATTGTTGGCACTTTCAGTTGTCTGTAAGTAATTAATTACAGTTATAACCGTATCGTTACTATGCTTATTATTTATGACAATGAGTTGTTGTATAACCTTTTTTTAAATTTATATAAATAACAATTTTATCCTTATCAATGTTTTTATATTGTCACTCTTATTTAATCTTATCTGCCTTTATACTTCACCTGAATTTATTTTGGTATCTACTTAAATATATAGCTTTCATTCGTGAACATCATTTGATTGTAACTGTTATTTCTTCTTGCTAAATCAGTTAATTACCAATTCAAGAAGATAATACCATATCTTTTTTATATTTTTTACAAATCAATTTTCACATTTAATAATTTAATATATTCTTAGTGTATTTCATAATAATAAATTTCATAATAAATTTCAGTGCCTTATTAATTTATATATTATACTGTTATATACTTATTGCATATTACTAAGTATTGGTGTTAAGATTTTAATTATTTATATAGAAAACCCATAAACTTAATTTTATAATTATGTTTCATACTTGGATCTAATATTTTAGATATATTTCTCATATTAATATAAGATTATTTTGAATGTAACATTTTTGTTTCTTTGCCATTTATTTACATGGTGAAAAATTAATTCCTACATAAACAGATACTAATAAAGACGATCGAATATTAACCAAATATTAATAAATATAGCTTTAAGCAATCAATTCTTTCATATTTGTCTTAACTTTTATAGCAATTTTACTGAACTAAGTGTGATAATTCATATTGTGATATGCATATTGAATCATTAAAAATCAACATATCTCTACTGCGGTATTGACATTTATTTCTTTCAGACAAAATCAGATACAGTAAAACTTTATACTATCATTTTCATACTAGAGTAAGTTAATAGGAATCTTACATAAAATTTATTGAAAAATGTTGTTATGTAGATCTCGGTATCTGTTTATAATTAAATAAAAAATGTATTATTTTCTGAGTTTTGTATGTACAAAATGTATCAAGTGACTAATCTCTATCCTCTTGTAGTATGATTATTAATAAGATTTGTTCATAGTGTAGGATGTCTTTTGTCATCAGAAGAATACATTTATATTAATACAAATTTATATTAAGAAATGTTTGTTTTTAACAGAATATAATACGATTGTTTGATTTTTCACTGATATATGCAAATGTAATAATTTCTAATTTGTATTTGTAACCTCTATAAATATAAATTAGATAAATATAAAAAATATAATTATATAGAAAAATTTTATTCACTAAATAGAAATAATACCAATTGGAAATTATGTAATAGTCTAGATGCATACTTAGATGTATCGCATCAATGATTATCAAAAAAGTACCGGATCAATATTGATGTTGCTATTATTAATTAATATATTCCATAGCGTTTAAAGCAAGGATGCCAATTTTTTTATAAATTGTTTTTATCTATCACAATATACATGTTCGAGATTGCGAGAACCTCTCGAATGTCATAAAACATCTGGCAAAACAACATCATTAAATAGTCGTCAGACTTCTGAAAAGTCCTGAACATAAAACATCTGGTAGCAATGTCACTAAACATCATTATGTATCTAGAAAGAGCCTCTACACGCAACAATTCCAATCTAACGGTACGCTCCCCTGCTGTAAAAGCTGCCATGCGGTCGCCACATGCGCGTCGAGGGCAATCAGATCGGGAGCTCCTCTTGGTGTAAAGGCCAAGAGAAGACTGAGCTTTATGATTGAAGGTGATGCCGCGAGAGGCGCTGCACTCGCCCTGTATGTCGCAAGTTCGCTGATTTGCCACAAAAAAAAGGAAAGGGATCCCAAGAGGACACCATGGTCAGTGAACTGCATTTAAGAGGGACAACCATAAGATTCAAGCACTCAAGTTGAAGTCGTCAAGGAAAAGGGAAGAAAGGAATGAAAGTTCCCTCAGCTGAGTCCGAAGACAAGTCTTCGTTTGTAGTCTCATCTACTCAAGGGCGTCATGGCCACTATCTCCCATCCAAGGTCTCTCGAGGAGCCAGGTCACCGATTACACTTAAAGGATCGAGGTCGCTTCAAAAGTACACACAACATTATCTTAATTAATTCTAGTGCCAGAACTTAAGGAGAATCTCGCTAGTGCCCCACGTGCACGAAGCAACCGCCGGCAAGCCAATCTTAGCGCCATTTGGCGCTATCTTGCAGAATCATCGAAAATCGCACGTGCCCCAATCTCACTTCTCAGGAAACAGAGTATCAGTGCACTACCTCAAGAGGAACAGGAAATACAACTTCCTACCTCGGGTTAAGGTGCATCTAACGCCAAGTGTCAACTGCCATAGAACTCAAGAGTTCATCGATTGATATCAGCAATAAGAATCATTCCTGTATTTGGAAATTAACGGAATTAATTTAATAACGAAAATATTGAATTAATACGCTATCCCTTCCACTTGCCTGCACATTCTCCCACATAACATCTCGTAAATAAAATATATTATGAATTTGCCATTATTACTATAGTAATATTAAAAATTACAACTGCATTGAGAAAAAACTCCAACGGTTACAATTTCAATGAAATTTTCCAACGATTGTTGGAGATCCGGAAAACCAAGTGCACAATCGCATCGATTGTTTGAAGCACCACAATTGCCTCCTTATTGACAGCTAACAAAGCTGTGGTGTAGATATTTAAGGCAAGTGCATTACGAGATAGGCACTAATCGACCAAAAGATTAATCAACCACGAGATATTCAGCCAAAGGTGAGTCATTTGAGCCATCGCAAACACTCTCAACAGAGCAGCTACGGAAGGTACACTAAACAGCTTCATACTCTTGCAGGCCTTTCGCATACTAGGTAAAGCTATGGAAGGTTCATTATACTAGGTGCAGTTGTCACACTTAGCAGAGACGATATGGAAGACCCTCCTCATCTTTCCACACTACAAGACAGCTTGGAAGAGACCAACAATCAAGTTACCACCACGTGGCATTACACTAAAAGTGTCAAGAGATTTACAACATCTCTGTTTCAGTGTAGTACTTCATCACTAAGCATACTGCATCAAGAGGATCCAGAGATTTACGATCCCCTACCTCTACAAGTAGTGCATGCTGACACCACATGGCGACAACCAAGAAACGGCAAGATTTCAATAATTCTTTTGAGGCTCTTAATTGAATTAAATACCAATATTTTCAAGTATGATGAGTAGCGATGAATTATCATCGATTGCAGAGTATTATATATCGACATATGAAAATTATATAAATTAGATCAAAATTTGTTTGTGTAAATTTTTTTGTTTAAAAATACTCCTGTAATTGTTCATGATTTGACGCACCCTCCTGAATCTTTTTCAGTACTAGTCATTTATTCATATACAAATCTAGTATTATTCTTTAATGTACTGTAAAAAATATCATTAATATCAAGTAAATAATTTTTTTATAAGTAGTATAGATTAAATGCTATAAAACATCTGCTGAAAAGCTAATTTTAGATTGTCTTTCAAATTATCGTATAATATCTGTATAAATAAATAAGAAATCTATAATGTATATTATTTATAAATAAATTAATTATTTATACTATCTCAATATTGTTTTATGTACTTAACATATAAATTTAGATTTAAATCACGATTTATATATACCCTATATACAGAATATGCTAATAATTTATATCAAATTTTTATTTGTTTAGGTTAGATCAGAATTAGAAAACTCATTTTTAAAACGGATATTCTTTAATATGGGTTTACGATATAAGGAATCTGATATTAAAAGAAGTATTATTCGAAAAAATACTATATGGGATAGTTTAGTTTTTAAAAATATTCAAGAAGATATGGGAGGAAGATTACGTTTAATGATAGTAGGATCAGCTCCTCTTTCAGGAAAGGTTCTTACATTTGCTAGATGTGTGCTAGGATGTCTTATTGTAGAAGGCTATGGACAAACTGAATGTGCCGCACCAATTACTTTATCCGTTCAGGTACTTAATTTTGCAAATAATGACAATCAACTATGATATACAATATTAGTTATATTAAGTGGATAGCAATTATTTTACTTATATTGTTCAAAATATTTATTCAACTATAATTTAAATAATAATAAAAATAATTATTACAAAAATATAATATTCTTTATTTGTTATATTATATTATATATATGTATGTATGTATAATAATTTATATTCATAAATATTTAATTATCTTTAATTAAAACATATAGTAAGATAATTGGAAATTAAACTGAATTAAATTAAGCATAAATTACAATGGAGTGCTCAAAAATTTTGAAACAAAAATTGCTGTTCGGGATTGAAGTAGTTGAAAGCAGAATACAAAAGTGGGAAAGATATAAGCGGACATTTACGTTTATAAACATAAGTCAGCGAATTCGAGAAATTTCCTACGCTGAAAACTCGAATATACTATTATAATTCTGAATATCAATGCCGATGTAACTTCCAAGGCTATATCCTACTGACGTCACGATAATGATCGGCATAGCAACAGACACCGGTGCGCTACTGGCGTCGCAAGCTTTTACGAGAATATTTAATAACAGCGCTTGACGCGCAGCTCCACTGTGCTAGTAATAATTACGCAGTCACTACGACGGGCTCATTATTCAATCTTCAAGCATTCATACTACAGTCATCACTCACTATAGCTATACAAGTACGTAATCATCACGTAATAAACCATCTAACAAACCAATAGTGACGCCACACTATCAGAATCCGTTAAAGTAAAACTGAAACTTATACACAAGAAGCGCTAGTGCAACATAACTGAGAGGGAAAATATCGAAACTATATATATATATATATATATATATTATATAAACATACATTAACGGATCACACCGACAGCTACAGCAACAGCAACTCGGGTCTTCCTTTAGTAAGCATCAGTTATTACAGCGGCGGCTCTCACGCATACTACTACAGCGGCGGCTCTCACACACATTACTACAGCGACGGACCTCACTCCTATGTAAGCAGAAACGGCAACACGCACGTTCCTTACACCACACCAATACCGGCGGAGCACACACCTACGTAAGTAGTAACGACAACACGCACGTTCCTTACAACCACACCAACAACGGCTGCGCTCACGCTCATACCGACGGCTAAGACAGCATCGTTTCACTCGTTCCTTTAGTACGCGCCGGCTACAACAGCGACACTTCTCGGAAGGAAAGGAGTCACGCCTGACACTATCAAGTATTATTGTATTTAATAAAGGAAAGAAAAGATACACTGTGTGTAGAATTGAATAATTGCATTTGCCTCCTGTACTTGCCCGCAACACCTCCACCAGTCTGACCCCAGACAGTAGCCTTTATAAGAATAGCATTTGTTAAAACCATAATATTTGAATATTATTATTATCACAATATGAATTTGTATAGAGCTAAAGGACATTGAACGATATTCAATCACATAGTGAATATTCAAAGTAAATAGTAAAGCTAAATATCTTACCATGTTAAATTAAAATATCTAAAAAAAATACATATCGAAATTAATAAAAGTAGAGTCCTACGAAGCTCAAAAGAAATGAGCTCAGCCACACGATTCTACAATTAGAAATATAGAGTATAGCTTTAAACTCCAAATTAGAAGTATAGAGTACAGCTTAAATACTAAATAAGAAATAGAAGGAATTACTGGTATCACTATTATTACCTATTTGCGATCAACTTATTCTATAAAGCACCCTAGTTTACTTCTACACATCACAACCAGTAGAATTCTAGTTCTATTATTGAACAGCTGGTTTCTTTTAATTATTAATAATATTTACTACGACAAAATTCTCTTTTACAATTTTCTATTTTTATGAAAGTAAAAAAAAACCGTAACGCTAATAAACGTTGTTATATTGAAAGAGAGAAATCTATCGTTCTTAATTGTTTGAAGTAGCCGAACATATTTAATCCATTAAGCAGTAGTAAACTTTCTTGGTCTTTCATTTTTCACGCATATCCTTATATGCATATCAATTCATTATTGCACATATTTAAATTTGATATCAGTATTAAATATATTTTTATTATTCAGCATGCGATTTAATTAAGATTTATTGCCATAAAGATTTATTTTAACTCTTCTTTTAATATTGAAATCATTTAGAAAAATGATTTATAAAAATTAACTTATATTTAGAATTTAATTTTCTAAACTTAAGTATAATCTTCTATTCAAAGCATAGTTCCATAATATTTTTTCGTTAATTATCTCCTTACATATATATCATAATCCAAACATAAATACAACGAATTACTGAATGATTAATAAAAGTTATATATTGATAATTTCAATTTATTCACTTTCACATCAATATTCAGTTAATTTTAAATTAATTTTATCATAATAAAATTTGACACTAATAAATACAAAGTTTTAATGAAATTCTAAAATTACCATAAAAACATACATAATGTCTTCGTATAAAACATTCAATTAACCTGAAAATTTGATTATTATAAACTTTTAATTGAAGTATCAAAAATCATGATGCACATTTTTTTTTAATAATAAAAATTATTCTATATAAAATATTAAAAATGAACTGTTCAATTAAAGTAATATAGAACTTAATAATAAATATTTGTTAAATATCTTATAGTGTTAAAATAATATATGGATAGTTGTGTTTATAAAGATCATGTTTGTTTAAAATATTATTGTATAGAAAAATCTTCATATTTGTTTCCTATTACATATTAAAAAATTATATTTACTATGAAAAGAGCATTTAAATTTACTGAAACATATATTTATATTCATTATATTATAACTATATTGATTTACCTAATCTTTAAATGACTTTTTCATTATGATTTTAAATATAAAATCAATTTTATTCAATGATTTTATTTTATTTTCGTAGTTATGCGACAGTAATATTCTATTTCTAATATTTTATTTTTTTTAATATTTATGTTTAGGGCGATCCTATACCTGAGCATGTTGGACCACCAGTAGCTTGTTGTTGTATTAAATTAATGGATGTACCAGAGATGGAGTATTATACAAGTAATAAGCAAGGTGAAGTTTGTGTAAAAGGTACAAATGTTTTTGCAGGCTATTATAAAAATCTTGAAAAAACTGCGGAAGTAATTGATGAGCAAGGATGGCATCATACTGGAGATATCGGAATGTGGCTTCCGGTAAATATTTATGTACAAATATAAATATTTATTAAATAAAATTATTTTTATGAATGATAATATTATCTTATATATATATACTGTAGAGTAGCCAAACTAAATTGAATAAAATAACGAGAAATTAAATATTAAGCTTTTAAATTAAATAGCAAATTGAAAAGATGAAAATACTCAAGAATGTAATTTATCATTTCACAAAGAATGTATTAATATAGTAAAATTATATATAATAACAATAGGCAATTGTAATAAAATATTAAAAAATAATTAAGTGTTTAAAACTAAATTTAAATAAACCATAGACGAGTATTCGTGTACGTATTTGAATAATTCTACTTACGTTTATTGTCATATATAGTGTTGAAGTAATGTGAAAATTGATAGGTACATAAGAGTATATATCAAACAGTGTCCTTATCTTAAATATACATTATTTATCATCTAATTCCATTATAAATTGGTATGGTACTTTAGGTACGACTCTCCTCTTGATGACAAATATAATGATTCAATACCTTAGTATATCTTGGCAGTACTCTGTGGCACTTATCGAGATGCAGTAGGCTTTGCGTCCTTAATTCGGAGTACAGCTCCAATTATACTGAGGTCTTACAGAAGGTGCATCGCCTCAATTCGGAGTACAGCTCCGATTACAATGACGAATGACTTGCAGTTCAGCGTGTCTCCTCTTAGTTAACTAGTGTACTGTGTATTGATTATTATAATGGCTTGACTGTTGACGTAACTGACTAACTTGCTTATAGTTGTGAAGTCTGGCTGAATGATGTTATAACAATGAGCACCTATAGGCCTGTTAAATATACACGCGAAACTGAGGGTTTTTTTTTCGTTTCGTGGCAGTCTACAGATAGATAGCAACTTTCAATTGCGGTCCTGCCAAGACAGACCGTGATCTCTATCTTCACTGAGAGAAGTTCTCTGAGAGGGTTAGGCTTGTCGCGTGCTTCCTTTAATATGCGCACGGCAGATTACTCAGCTGGCAACAATGCATAGGTGTTGCCATGCCGAAAGTCTTGCATGACGTCAGAGATTAAAGCTTTAGAATTTTCCAGAACTCTAAAAAAAGAAGGATCTACAAATTTTGTTGAATTCAAAACGGCGTTGCTATGTGAAAACTAGATAAATATTACAGAATGATCGCAAGCAAAGGCTTTAAAATGATCGAGAAATTTCAAAGTCAATGTTTATGATTTCGCGATCTAAACCGATTAAAAATTTCGGAGAATTAATTTTCGTGGAAAGTGCTTCAATTCTGAATAGATATAATTAGGTATACTTGTTCTATTAAGCCTACATTAAAAATTCAGATAAATTATAAATTTATATTTCCATCTTAGAATTTACTGTTTTATGAAATATATTAATCAATAAGTACATGCAACAAATTTTATAAAAGAAAATAAAAAGATAAGATATGGAATTGTCGAATTAATACAATACACTATTCTATATATTTAAAAAAACATATTTATAATAACACTAACTAATAACAATATTTGCAATTAAAAATGATTGTTTTAATTAATTTAAACAGATCATATTGCAATAACATTATACAGAATAAATATCTTTTTACATTTAGTAATAACAATTTTATGATTAATATAAAAAGTTAAGTATTAAGTTTTTCCGTGTTAAAATGAAATTAATAAAAATTGTAAATCTTTTATAATAACGATTTTTTTTTTATTATGAACAAAATAATAAATTACTAAACATCACTTATTATATTTTAATATTTTTTAATAAATATTTTTAAGGTCACATTTGTAATAAAATTAGATCTTTAATATATTATGTTACAATTATCATTACAAGTAATTTTTTAATTTAAGAAAATTATTATTTAATATCAAATAATAAGTATAATACATAATAATGATTTTGTATCAATATATATTATTGAAACTAATATATATTTTATACAAGCATTAACAAAATTTTTATAAAGAATAAAAATAAAGTAATAATTATATAAAATAATTATTTTTATGCTACTTAAAATAATCCATTTTTAACATTATTCTATTTCAGAATGGAACTTTGAAAATTATTGATAGAAAAAAACATATATTTAAACTTTCTCAAGGAGAATATATTGTTCCAGAAAAAATTGAAAATATTTACATTAAAAGCCAATACATATATCAAGTTTTTGTGTATGGTGAATCATTAAAATCATGTATTATTGCAATTGTTGTACCGGATGTCGATGTTATAAAATGTTGGGCCTTAGAAAATAACATACCTGGTACTTTAAGTATATTATGTGTTAATTCAGAAGTTAAAAATGTAATTTTAAATGACATGTTGATCAGGGGCAAAGATGCTGGTTTAAAATCTTTTGAACAAGTAAGTATAAAAAAATTATATATACTAACGACTAAATAAATAAAAATTTATTTATATTTTTTAGATAAAGGATATATACCTTCATCCAGATCCGTTCTCTGTTAAAAATGGTCTTTTAACACCAGCTTCAAAAATAAAACGTCCACAATTAAAAACGTATTTTAAGCCCCAATTGGAAGATCTTTATCAAAACTTACCTTAAATAAGTTTAATCAAGTAAAATATCTATTACGAAACTATAACTCTTTTCCCAAACAATTTAATAAATACATTGAGATATTATAAGTAACTTCATATTTTAATGAGAAAGTATCGAATTCCTCGTAATGTACATTCTTAATAATACTCAGAATATTTACAGTTATACAAATATTCTTTGTAAGGACTATTTTAAAAACATTTTCAAGTATATAAAATAATTATATTATTATTAAAATATCATTCTAAATATATACACATTTGGAAATAAAAATTTCTTTAATAGAAATATTTTTGAACTATTATTTTTTATATAATTATAGATTAGTACAATTGAATACATAATATCAAAACAATTTGTAGTATATATACAATTATATAATGACGTTTAATTTTTAATTAGATAACCTATAATATATGTAACAAATATATATATATATATATATATATATATTTGTTGAATAAAGTGACCAAATAAATTTAAAACAATAGTACTGTGCTCCATACATCTAATTGTTCATAAAATATGAGTATTATTAGTTCTTTACTGTTAGGTACGAGTGGAATTGAGCCAAATGATAGAAATTAATATAATAAAGAATTCCGAAACTCGGTATATAAATAATTCAATAGAATGATATATGTTCAAATACAAAAATAATGTTTGATGGTTAATTTCAAATTGTAGAATAAAATAATCCTAGTTCATGTAAAATGATTGGTAAATATTTTCTACTGAACTTTTAGAGATAAAAAAGAAATTGAAGCTTTCTATACTAGTAAGGTTCTAAATATTAATAGTATGTACGTTAGTTTGTCGAATCATTATTCTTATAATTAATTGTGAAAATTAAAGAGTAAGATGCAGGCATTTCTATAGAAGCCTACATTAAAGGATATAAAAATAAAACGTTTCATTCTTATATAAAATTATATATCTTAACAAATAAAAGTACCTACGCACTAATTACACAAGTAGGTAAGACAGAACTTCTGTATTAAACGTCGCTGTATTGGGAGCTGTTCCCTGGATTCAAGCATTAAGACGCTACTGTGATCAGAGCTGAACTCCGGATTAAAGGCCATACATGGTACTATACAAGGAGGGTCATGGATTTATGCTCTTGCATTTCTCAGTGTAGTAATTTCCACCAAGAGGATCCGGAGCTTATAACCTTTAACCTCGACTTGTAGTGTACGCTATCTCCACGTGAAAACCAGTAAGGAACGGGAAATCTTACAGATTCTTAAACCATCTTAGAATCATATTTATTGTGTAGTCTGTGAATAAATAAAGAGAACATGCCAAGATACGCTTTGTGTTAAATATTGAATAACTACGCCATCCCCTTCAACTTACCAGCAATCCTTCCACCTAACACCACTGGGAGTTTTTTAGTCTAATCCTAGACAATGATCGATTTAAAAATTTGAAGTATTCATGGAATGTAAGTCAGCATATTTCAAATAGAACAAAACAATTAAAAACAATAATAATACTCCATGAATTTATTTATATATTTTAAAATGACACCATCGAAAGAAAAAACATAATTATATTGATATTATATTATGTAGTAACTAATACATATGGAAAACAAATAAAATCCTACATTCTAAACAAAAACTTCAATTGAAGAACTTTTTAAAGATATATCCATTTACGAATCCAGGTTATCCATGAATGTTAATAACATCACAGCACTATCGTTTACAACCTTATATTTAAGAGCATCTCATTATTGCATTATTATATTAAAAATAAATTGTAATTTAATTTATCTTTATTATTTATGATTTTAATATTTACAAAGAATTTGGCCTACCAATAAGTCTTTAATTACATACTTAAATATCAGTAGATATTACTTATATCAATTCCATATTTATTGTGTCAATTTATTATAATGTTATACAAGATGCGAATAACATTTTTCATAATGTATTTGTAATTTTATAACTTGTAATACAAACTCCAGACTCAATTATTTTACAACTTAGATTAATATATATTACTAATTCGGAAATGATTAAATCTATTGTTATCTTATCATAGTAATATAATTAAATGTACGAAATATAGTAGAAATACATTTGGACATTAATTTTGTAAGATTTTTTGTAATTATTTAAACTACATATACTAAAAGCACTCTACTTATTATATCACTTTTATTTATTTGATTTCAATTATAGTGAAAATATATTCTACATTATGATATGTTGCGATATAAACCTAATGTTTTGAATTTGTTCATCTATAAACCGTCTAATAATGCATACTTACATGATACTAAGTTCATCACGCATTTTCCAATTAGTTAATATCTATTTTTTATAAAACGTCAATTTTTTCATAATCTGGGGTTTATTTCTTATATTAGTGGATAGCTAAATATAATTAATTCAAACAATAACGGAATGCATTTAATATATATATCTTATACAATGCAAGATGAAAATATATAAAAATAACTATATAATATACTCATAGCCAACAAACTGAACACAAATTATGTATTTAATAATTTAATAATGGATTAATTTAATAATGGAAATTGTAATTGTTACATAACTAAAGTAGAAAATAGCGCGATACTATTTAAATACGAATGTCCCTGCATATATTTTTATATTTTTATTTATAGATATATATATATATATATATATATATATGTCATTGTACACGATAATATTTAAGGAGACGCGCTTGACACTCTCGTCCTCTTACTTGTTAAATCAAACAGTCATCAAGATGAAATTACCGTTCTACAAGTCAACGCTAGTTGCACAGAGATCATCTTCAATTCACACAGACTGCCTCCACCTACAGAGATAGTCTCCCAGTACCATCACACGGATCGAACTCACTACACGTAAGTCACGCTATTACACACGTCCTTACGTTCCATCAATGCACCGAGATCGACTCCACACGTAAGCTGCACTATTACATACCTTCTTCCGAATCACTAACACACGGTTCTGTGAACTAAGTAAGCAGCAATACCTAGACCACGGCATCATTGCCCTTCATCAGTGACGTCACTACACTTTTTCAGCGCATCTCCCACTACCACTACGAGTCCTAACCACGAGTAGGAGAATGACGCGCCACATCAAGAATACACTTACAAGATTATTATCACTCATATTACCTGAAGAAACTCTCACCTATTCGTTGTATCATTCATTCAATCTCACCTCAATAGACCACTGATTATTTATTATATCATTATATTCAATAAAAGGAAAACCAACTCATACAAAGGCAGTATTGAATTATTGCATTGTCCATTCCACTTGCCGGCAAGCCTCCCCTCAACATCTCAGGGAAGCTTTAGTCTGATCCCAGACAATATATATATTTATATATATGTCTATAATATTTATCAGTGTTCAGAACTTTTCAGGATTGAAGCAATTTGCAAGACCGTTGAATCTCGACAACGCTAGTCTCTCTAGCTCTCAGGTTTCTGTAAACACTTGGGACAAGAATTTTCGTGTACTTGTTATGTTTTGGTTTCAAATGGCCTGCAATGTCAATGTAATATGGTCTTCGAGTAATAACATCACCTGGAATTCTCCAAATTTCTTAAACTTTATTCTTTTCTTAGAATTCTCAAAATTTCTAGAGTTTTCTTCTGCACCTGATGTAGGATTGCAGTAGGGCAACAGCGATGCTTTGTTGCCAACTAAGTGTGGTGCAGCGTGGATACTTAAGGTCAGCACGCTACGCTCAGTAGCTCATTGTGAAGCAGTCGGTCAACAGTTATAAGTCATTACGTTATTCAGCTAACGTTTTCGGGTACACACCAGTCACTCAATTATTCTCATGCAATGAAGACATCCAAGGGGATACGCATTTAATTGCTAAGTGTGCTACACTTACAATCACTCAAGGGTGCTGACTGCGTTACGAGAAAACTACATTGCCACAACAAGCATAGTCTCCAGGTATGTGCATACATACATTTCAAGGCCACACGTCCTACACAGGACTGTGAGCTTATCACAGCTAATTCTTGGCAATATTAGCAGAAGCCACTTTATTGTATATACTTCAAGGTCACACATCCTACACAGGAGTGTAAGAATATCTCTGCTAGTCCTTACAATACTAACAGAGGCCACGACATCATCACCATCAAGGAGCAACCTCATCATTGAGACAAGACAGAATTTACACTCTTCTGTAAGAAGTGAATCCTGCTTATTATTAATGTAATTGTTAATAAACCATTTGTTAACGAAGTTTGCATATACTACACATTTCTACAACCCTTCACTGACTCCCACCAAAGCCTCTGCTAGAGCGGGTGACAAATTATTAAAGCTATCGAAACACTGGCAGTTTGAGCCAAGAAATAATACCACTATCGAACAATAACAAAAGTAAAATAACAAAAACATACTAAAATATAAATATTAAAGATTAAAATTAAGAAAAACAAAATTATGATTCGTTTTTTAACTTGTAGAATATATTTATTTAAAAATTATAATAGCTATTAGGATTTCTTAAGTATATTTTCAGTTTTAAAATATTGTTAATGTACATTGATATTCTACATATATTAATGTTTGTTTTTATATACAATGTATGCAATCAAGGATAATAATAAAAAATTAACAATATAAAAGTATCGATCAATTAAAATTTATATTTGTTTACATTTTTTAACTAACAAAATATATCCTAGTAAATGAAATAAAAAATATACAATAATCATTAATAAAATATCCAAATTTAAATTTTCTATTGAAAATCCATATAATTCAAGCACCTGCTGTCCATCCGTGATACAAGAAACATCTGTGCTAGAACAAGCTATTATAAAAAATTGTTATTATAAAAAATAAAATAATTATATATAGTAATGCAAAATATACATAAATTCTAATCCCATGATATACTAGAAGTTATTATAAACCTATCCATGAAAATATGTATTATTAAGATATTTTAAAGATTCTACAATATAATAAAAATAAATCAATACATTTGTTCTAGAGTGAAACGAAAATCTCTCGAATTGTATTCATAAGGAAAATTTCAACGGCTATTATAAAAAGAATTATCGATCGGACATAAAAATCTAAGACAGTCTCGCCAAGTTGCTGAAGGCTCGAAAAGGTTAGTACATCTGGAACATACTCGTAAACAGCCACTTTATTTCCTTTCGTACTACAGACGTGGCAATTGTTTTGAATTCAATGAACGACCCATGCGACTTACCATCAAAACCCGGCTAGCTTGTTTACTAGAGTACATTTTGAGACTTAAATTATTTGAAAACAATTGAGTGAAAAACATTTCTTAAAATCCATTGCAACCCGAAACTCGGTACATGCGACGTTCGGCAATCTGCGCCGCACGTGTACCTTCAATACCACTAGCAAGCATGCATTGTTGTCAAGTACGGCAAACGTTGCTGCTTGTATAGGTCAAGCGAAGACGCTTGACCAAGAATCAACCCCCCCCCTCCAGCTAAGGCCCGGAGAGGGGCAATTTTCCATAACATGCGTTGCCGCCAGAGATACTACTTCGATATTCTCATTGTCTAAGCCTAATTTCTTCTGAAGTGGGAAAAGGGCGTGCACATTCATCATGCCGTCGAAAAGCGGCGCGCCCTGATTGGAAAACTAAGACCTGAAGCTCCTTGAGTGGGGACTCATGGCAAGAGGCCTTAAAGGTGGAGACAATACAGCGAAAGTCTCTGTCCGCAGGGAGAATTCGAGAAAAACGGTTCGCGTGGGCAGCCAAGGGCTGTTTCGAAAGAAAAGTCAATAGAAAGGAGCTATCCGATAGAGAAGCCAGGTCAGCAGCGAACTTTATGCACCCGTATGAATTGGTAAACTAGTAACTAAGTACTTGCAGAGATCCACTGACCAGAAAAGTACATTATTTAAAATACAGTAATCGTAGTATTCAATCGCCGACGGAAGGCCGATCACGCACGTTAGTGTTTGCCGCGTGTTTTGTGATAAACCGTCGACGGGAAGAACGACCACTCATATTTGTGTTTGCTGCGTGTTTTTGTGGTCAACTTGATGTTACCAGTTCAGTGGATTAATCTCTCGCCATAGCAATTAGAAAGAAAGAAGTCACAAATGGAAGGGGTGAAAAGTATAATGTAATATATTTGAAATTTATTACAGAATAGTCGTTCGCAGTATATATCGAAATATTTGATAATAAATGTCATTTGATGCTTGGGGAGGAAAAAAAAGAAAAAAAATGAAGAAAAAAAAATTACGCGGTATTAATTTAATGAATTGACTAGTGATGAATTGAATCATCGAGAATCTTCGTGTCTAGCTAAATATCGTCAGGCGACGTTAACGATATTAATGATAATGACATTAACGTTAATGGCATTAAGAAATAATGATTTTCAATGACTCGATGTTTAAATGATAGTTTGTTTGTAGAACACACTTTTCCGATGTAAACTACTTCGTCTTATTCACTTTTGTAGTATTAAAAGTAGAAGTACCATAATTTATTATTTTACTACTGCTACAATTTTATTTTATTTTATATTATTATTTTTTTTTTTTTAATTTATATTTCAATATATTCCATTCAATAGTCAGTCCAAGGCAAACATTATCCGCAATAATATGATATAATTACTATTTTCTTAATTTTTTCTTTTTTAGATCGTTCTAAGTATATATTACTTTCTTTTTAAAAAATGTATGCTTAACATTTAATATATCTCTTTAAAATATTTACAATCAATGCTATTGTACAGTATTTTTAATTGTTTATCGTGTTAACGTTTTACAAAGGCAATTATTTAATGTAACTGTTATCATTATTTTCTCACTGTCTGAGATTTAACTAAAGCTTCCCTGAGGTGTTGACGAGAGGCTTGCTGGCAAGTGGAATGGACAGTGCAATAATTGAATACGGCCTTTTGTATGAGTTGAATTTCCTTTATTAAATATAATATAATAAATAGTCAGTGATCTATTGAAGTGAATTGCAGGTAGGATGCAATGAGTAGGCGAGAGTTTCTTTGGGTGATCAGTAACTAGTCTTGTTAATGTATTCGTGGTAGTGCGTGTGATTCTTCAACTCTTGCTTGTAATTCGTAGTGATGGAATGAGATGTGCTGATAATGAGTCTTCACGCCGCCGGTTGCCGCTGCCGATAAGCTGGAGCGACTTGTGGGGTGCTGTGAGAGGGGAGCGTTGTGTGACGTCACTCTTTAGGAAGGGGTCTTGGCGCCGCCGGCTCCTGCTGCCGATAAGCTGGAGCGGCCTCTGAGGCGCAGTGAGAGGGGAGCGATACTGTGCCGTCACTCTTTTTGGGCATTGATGTCGTTATCTTGATATGCTGCACACTTGGTTCGTGTGTTGATGATCCGTAAGAACGCGTGTAATAGCGTAGCTTACGTGTGTCGGAGTCGATCTCGATTGAATTGATGGTATGCAAGAACGCGTGTATTAACGAAGCTTGCGTGTGTTGGAGTCGATCTCGATTGAATTGATAGTATGCAAGAACGCGTGTAATAACGTAACTTGCGTGTTTTGGAGTCGATCTCGATAGAATTGATAGTATACAAGAACGCGTGTAATAACGTAGCTTGCGTGTGTTTGTTATCTTGGTATGCTGCTTACTTGGTTCGTCTGTTGATGATCCGTAGGAATTCGTGTAATGGCGTAGTTTTCATGTTGATGGTTGGCCCGTGCGGTGGTGGTGAGCCGAATGCGAATATTTTACGAGTTGGTTGGAGATAAATTCTGTGCAACTGATATTGACTTGTAGAACGGTGATCCGATCTTGATGACTGCTTGATTGAACTAATAAGAGGACGAGAGCGTCAAGTGCGTCTCCTTAAATATTATCGTACAGGCTTACGATTCCAGTGAATTTTAGATTGCTCTTGTCATGCCGCTGACGTCACTAGAATCTAGCCTTGGAGAGTTCGTCGGCCCTTGTTAGTCGGAATTGTAATGAAAATTTGACTATTTGAGTATTGAAGTTTCCCGATTTCGGAGAATTGTGTTTACGACTTGGCGCGCAATGTTTTGACCGAAGCAGGTGTCGTTACCTCTCCCACTTTATTTACCGCGTAAATGCTGCAATCCGTAACACTTACATTAACGTTTAATGTAGACTTCTTTAGAATAATTGTTCCTATTGGTGCATTTTGGTATTACGGTCCGCATGATTTGAATATTCAACAATTGGATTGGCATGTTTTGCGCTTGATATTCAGGTGGGCAATATCGACAAATACCTTTATCGTTTATCAAATTAAGAATCAATTAATTAACGCGAAGCTTATGAATATGACGAACGTGCTGTCTCAGGAGGGGATTGCCGCCTGCTTCAAGTCCCCTTATGATCCAGCAATAATTCTTTACCTTCAAGATTGATTAACCAAAAATCCGTTAATAATAAGGCTGGCTAATAATAAAAAAAATAAATAATAATAATAATACAAATGAAAAAAGAAAGAAAACCAATCAACAGTAATAACAGTAATAAGTTCATATCCGATAAATCCTGAAACACGCAACACCATCGTGTTATTAAAATCTCATCGAGCATCCGACCAATCATCCTTCACGCGTGCTTTTCTCGTTTATAGTTACAAAGTAAATGAAAGTACAAATATTTGCACTAGCCGAAAAATAAACTGAACGTTCACTATTTGCCATCGACAGCGACGTACTTATTATTATAGTCAATTGTGGCTCGCTTGAGGCTCGAGCTCCGATGTTTTAAATAAGGATAACAATGATATGTAAATTGTGTAATAAATTGTATAATAAATGTATAATTAAACAACTTTCACGACTCTTGTACAGCCCTTCCACCTAACAATTTCCCGGGCGTCTGCTAGGACGGGCGGTAAATTAAGCTATTGAAGTATTGGCAGTTCGTGCCAAGAATTACATCACTATATTTCGAACAACATTATAAAACAATTCATAATTACAAATTATATATTTTTCTAAAGATTATAAGATATGTAATTTTTAATATTAATATTTTAATGATTTACTATATTTTACTCATCTATTTTTAGAAATTCCAATTATAAAATGGTGTTATTACTCCCGTTCGAATTTTAACGTTTTAATTTATGGCTCGAACTACCATTTCAATAGTTCAGTGGACTAGTCTCTCGCCACAGCGATTTAGGAAGAAAGAAGGCACAAATGGAAGGGATGAAAAGGATAATGTAATATATTTGAGCTCGATTATTAATTTATTCTGCTTATGAATTATAATCTTGTAGCATTGTTAGTTACTTCTATTAAGATTGAGAATTATTCTATTGTAGTGGTGACTTCTTTCTTGAGCTCTTGATTGTTTGAAATTTGAATTGCAGTTCGGGCTGGTATAAGTGACACTGATGTGAGATGCACTACTCAACAATAATACTAAATATAGAATTACAATGAGCAATAAACTGAATTTATCATAGAACAATACTGAGAGCCAGATGAGTAGTGACTAACTAGATGTTAAACGTACAGGCTGCTCTTAAATATTCACGTAGGAGCTTGCGACGGCGCAGCGCACCGGTGCCTGTTGCTATGCCGATCATTATGGTGACGTCACTATAATATAGCCTTAAGAGTTCATCGGCATTGCTAGTCAGAATTAGAATCTAATATTGGAGTATTCAGCTTAGTAAAATTTCCCGACCTCGCTGAATTGTGTTTATACGTAAGTATCCAGGTGTTTACACTTCTCCCATTTTTATATTCCGCCTTTAACTGCTTCAATTCCAAACAACTCCAAAATTATAAGTTAAAGCGACACTAAAAGTTATAATAAATAGATTAAAATAATTAAGATAT